GCTCACAGCCACTGCTGGCCCCAATGCCCTGGCCTGGCATGAGGGGGCGCTGTGCTGCAGGGGGCTCGCCACACAGTCAGCGCTGACCCCAACCTGGCACTAGGGGGCGCTGTGCTGCAGGGCAGGAAGAGGTGGGGCTCTCCCCAGACAGTCATCGCTGACCCCAGCCTGGCACTAGGGGGCGCTGTGCTGCAGAACAGGGTGTGAGGCTTCCCTCACTCATCGCTGACCCCAGCCTGGCACTAGGGGGCGCTGTGCTGCAGGGTAGGGAGAAGTGGGGCTCCCCCCAGACACTCATCGCTGACCCCAGCCTGGCACTAGGGGGCGCTGTGCTGCAGGGTAGGGAGAAGTGGGGCTCCCCTCAGACACTCATTGCTGACCCCAGCCTGGCACTAGGGGGCGCTGTGCTGCAGGGTAGGGCGAGGTGGCGCTCCCCCCCACAGTCATCGCTAACCCCAGCCTGGCACTAAGCAGGGGCTGGACTAGCATCCTTCAGCCTGGCTGCCCCCACCGGGAGCCAGGCCCGTCCTCCTCCCTCCCCTTTACTTCTGCCCTCCCCCTCATCCAGGCCTCTCGCTCCCACTCCCTCAGGTCCCTTTCAGCACGTGGCCGCCGGCCAGCGCCAAGCTGAGCTGGTCTCTGCTCGGGGACCCTGCGCAGGGAGCGGAGACGTGGGCGAGGCTGGGCCCTCCCGCGGCCCCCTCCGCGCTGCAGGCGCAGACCCGGGCGTGGTTCGAGCGCACCCAGGTGAGCCGGATCCGGCAGCAGGGGGAGCTGCCGCACTGGTTCCACGGCTTCATCAGCAGGAGGTGAGGAGCCGGGGGGGAGATGTGGGGCTGCCTGGTGTGGGCCCTGTAGCAGCATCCCCAGGAGCCGGGGGCTCTTCTCAGCTGTCACGCCGATGGCTAAGGAAAGAGTTTCAAACTCAAGGGAGCGTCCGGAGGGCAGGCCAGGGCGCTCGGCCCCCTGGGTTCTTTCCCCCACTGCTCTACTAACAACCTGGATTTGCCCCCCACTCGCTGTGAGTCTGCAGAAGCCCCCATGCCTGGACTGTCCCCTTCCAAGTGTGCGTGGGGGTGGGGGCTGAGATACTGTTCCTGAACTGCCGGCAGCACCTCCCAGCCCCCTACGCCCAGGAGCGGCTGCCCTTTGGCGGCAATTCCCGCGCCGGGCGATTTCTGATGCTGTTGGCGCTCCCCCCTCCCCCCCCCAGGGACACAGAGCAGCTGCTGCAGGAGAAGCCGCTGGGCACGTTCCTGATTCGCTTCAGCGAAAGCACAGTCGGATTCGTCTTGTCCTACAGGTGAGGTCAGCTGGCTGCCCCTGCTCCTAAGCCCGCCCCGCCCTGCAGGTGAGCTCACCCAGCGGCCCCATCCCCCCACACTCTTCTGTGCTCCACCAGGCCCTCGCTGATACTGGTTGCTGAGCCTGGCACCGTGTAATTAGGGGCCGTTGTTGTTACATGGCCCTGCTGCCCCTGGTGGGGGGAGAGGGAAAGACTGCGTCCCCACGGGGTGGAAGCAGCACAATTTCCCCCGAGTATGGTGGAAATTTCACACCCCCCCCCTCACCGGTGTCGATTTCTCTCCGGGCACCAGGGGCCGAGATCGCTGCCGGCACTTCATCCTAGACCAGCTGGAAGACGAGCGCTACGTGATCCTAGGAGAGGACAGCGCCCACCCCGAGCTCCAGGGCCTGCTTCAGCACTACACCACGGCTCCCGTCACCCCGTACTCCGAGTATGGTGGAAATTTCACACCCCCCCCCTCACCGGTGTCGATTTCTCTCCGGGCACCAGGGGCCGAGATCGCTGCCGGCACTTCATCCTAGACCAGCTGGAAGACGAGCGCTACGTGATCCTAGGAGAGGACAGCGCCCACCCCGAGCTCCAGGGCCTGCTTCAGCACTACACCACGGCTCCCGTCACCCCGTACTATGAGTTCCTCACAGTGGCATGCCCAAGGGTAAGGGAGCAACTTGCCCAGAGCGCCTGGCATCCCACGTCACGCTCAGGGATCGCTGGAAGGCAGCAGCTGGCGTCTCAACAAAGGCCCAGGAATATCCTGGCTGGTTGGCATCACCACTGCCCTCCACGGGAGGGGATCTGAGCTGCTCCAGTGTGTGTCATAGGCCCTGTACTGCTGGTGTGGATTTTCCAGGCCAAGCAGCACCGCTCTGGGCTTGTGCAGCTGGAGAGCTAAGGTCAGCCCAATGACTGCCATGGAATCCGAGGCAGGCACAGATCATAGAATCACAGAATATTAGAACCGGAAGGGACCTCGAGAGTCATCGAGTCCAGTCCCCTGCCCTCACGGCAGGACCAAATACTGTCTAGACCATCCCTGATAGACATTTATCTAACCTACTCTGAAATATCTCCAGAGATGGGGATTCCACAACCTCCCTGGGCAATTTATTCCAGTGTTTCACCACCCTGACAGTCAGGAACTTTTTCCTAATGTCCAACCTAAACCTCCCTTGCTGCAGTTTAATCCCTTTGCTTCTTGTCCCATCCTCAGAGGCCAAGACGAACACGTTTTCTCCCTCCTCCTGACGCCCTTTTACAGTAAATTACAGATATTACAGTAATTAGCACCAGATTGAATCACTGTTGCCGAGAAGTGCGGCCGTGCAGAACTATACCCAGTGCACTAGAAGTGTTTCCCTGCCTTGAGTAAACTACAAGGCAAGTTGGGCCAGGGGCCGCAGAGAGGCAGTGGCATAGCAGCTGGGAGTTCTAATCCCTTGTACCCCAGGCATGCTGGGAAGAAAACCCAGGAGTCCCCACTCCCTGCTCTCTTGCTCTTTGTTATTTTTATTGCCATAGCCCTTAGCACACCCAGTCATGGAACCAGAGTGTGTTGTGCAAGGCGCTGTACAAATAACTAAAACACGAGTCTCACCACTAGGCTACGCTCTCTTCCCTCTTTTCAAGCCACATCTGTTTCCCTCTTTGCTTCAGAACGACAAGAGCCTCACAAATGGTGGGATCCCGGCCGGAGCCGAAGCAGCATCCGATGCCCCACTTGAGCCAGCAAACGTCCCCCCAGCAGAAGGTGGCCAAGCGTACAGCTTTGTCCACAAACAAGGCCAGGCGTCCCACCAGCAGACCCACTCCTGCCTGCTGGCTGCGGAGCAAAGGCAGGAAGGATGCCCTTCCAGGGAGGTAAACATGGGCACAGTCAAGGGGAAGAGGGTGAAGCTACCTAGACACAAGCTGATGTTTCTTTGCTCCTTTAGGCTTCCTGCTCCGTTCCCCCGCTCCCCACCAAGGCTGACCCCACTCCAAGGCCAAGCAGCCCCATGCAAGAGGCAGCGGCCTCAGCCGATCCATACGCCCACGTCAACAAAGCGCCCGTGCCCGCTGAGCAGCCCCCGCCGGCACAGCCCGTGGAGGCCAAGTACCAGCAGCTGATGCGCTTCCACACCTACGCCGAGCCCTGCGAGGGCTTCTCGCCGCCCGAACGCCGCATTTACTATGAACCCGACGAGCCCATCCCCTTCTACGCCATGGGGCGCGGCTCGCTGCCCTGCCCTGACCCTGAGAACGTCTACGCGGAGGTAGAGCTGGCGGGCCAGGCCCTGTCTCACCGTGCACCTAGAGCCCTTCGAGACACGGCGTCCACCCTGCCCCGGGGCTTGTCCAGACCTCCCGCCAAGCCTTCACCGGGGCACCGCAGGCTCCTCCGGAGCAAGTCCGCTCAGGGGTCCAGTAGGATCCGGCTGCCTGCAGCTTCCACTGTAGAAGAGAGTCTGGGGAAGCCGCCTGGCCCCTCCTCAGAGGTGGGTGTCACATGGAAGGACAATAGGGAGCAGCACTTTAAATGGCCACCAAGGGGGCAGGATAAGTCGGTTCGGATGGGCCCTGAAATTCTCTAGGCCGCTGGTTCAAATCCTGCTGGCTGTTGGAGGGCATGCACGTGTGCAATGAGTTTGGTGGGGCTCAGACCAGGTCCTAGCGGGTGTGGGGGGTCTATCCGCCACAACCTACTAAAGCCATGTCCCCCCTCAACTAGTAGAGAGCCCCCAGACTGATTTTGCCTGGTCCTTCCATAATTTGGGGGTGTTACAGTAGTGCCTGGACTAGACACTGCCCCCGAGATCAGGGCCCCATTGTGCTGGGCACTGCAGCTGCATAGCCCAAGCCTGTCTATGTCTTACAAGGAAGGGAAGACAACAGGCGGGAGGGAAAACGGGCACAGAGCAGGGATATGACAAAGGCACCTGGCAGTGCAGTGGCAGAGCTGGGACCAGCACCCAGTTTTCCTGAGTCTCATGCCACCGAAGCCAGGGCAGAGGCCTACTGGTGGGGGACCATGCGTGGACTGTGGGTGCACTAGGCGTTACCGGCCCCAGGGCTGCCTGGCCCACCCCTCCCCACAGCGCCACACGGTGGGAAGAGGACTAGCATGGCGTGTTTCAGCGTCCTTTTCACTTGCCCCCCTCTCCTCCTTCCTCCCAGACCCCCCGGGAGTTTGATGACCCGGTGTACGACAGGAAGACAGCGCCCCGGGCCGGGCCAGCCACCAGCCGGGGACAGGAAGAGCTAGAAAACATTTACGAGCTGATCCCCGGAGACCGTCGTAGCCTGCATGCCTCGAGGAAGCAGTGACGCCGCGGTAGGTGTTAGAGGCAACCTGGGGGAAGAAGGGGGCAGAAGGGGAAGCCAGCCCTTACACAACCATGGCCAGCGCTTGCACCCACTGGGGAAATGACACCACAAGGAGACTCGGGCCCACGGGCCCAATCCAGTCTCCATTGCAGTCCATGAGCCTCAGTATCACTGGGGGAGGGGATCAGGCTGAGATTCCCCCTGGGCAGAGGGAGCACCGGCACATGATGTCCATGCACCGCTGCGGCCCTGCACCCCGTCTGGGGTAAGTATCCCCTTCGGGTTCTCATGCTGCAGCCGGCAGGAGGTGTGGTGGGCACTGGATTTAATTAATCTCAAAGGAAAATGGGGAAAGGATATTCTGGTAGTAGCCTTTTCTGGGGGAAGAGTTGCTTAATTGGAAAAAAAAACCCACTTGGGTTGGCTAAACTGACAGGAGCATCCCTTCCACGGCAGGTCAAAATTTGAACCCAAACTTGAATCTGAAAGGCGGGCAGTGTGGTCTAGTGGCTAGAGCGAAGGAGGGTGTCGAGAAACTTGGGCTCTAGGCCCAGCTCTGGCACTAGCCTGCTGAGCGAGCTTGGACAAGTCACTTTGCAACTCTGTGCCTCAGTTTCCCCATCAGTAAAATGGAACGGACCCCAACCCCCATTGAACTTGATGGATAAGAGCCAGGGGGGTGATATTATAACACGACCAGCACACCCTGAAAGGTCCCAAAGAAAGGTATTTACCAGATCAAGGGAGGTTTCTTGCCATAGCCTCTAAGTCTGCTGCCAACTCATTCCACCCCTGCCTGCTGGCCAGCTCCAGCCCCGCTGCTCCACCTCTTAGGCCAGGCTGCCACGTCTCCAGCCTAGCTGCCGTCCAGGAGGCCACGGCCCCAGCCCCGCTGTTGGGCTGTTCTAGCTGCACTACCGCCAGACCCCCACCTCAGGCTCCCAGCTGCTGGTCCTCCTTCCCCAGGGCTCGCTCATCCAGGAACATTCATGTGTAGGGAGATGCAACCTGCAGTCCCATTACTGGGCTTGGCTGGGCTGGATTTTCTGCCACCATTGCGCTCCCCCAGACTGGAGCCTACCCTGACTGTCGTGCTGCTTCTCCGGGTCCTCTCCAGTTCTCTAGCCTTGCCCCCAATTCACCTCCTACCCCAACAGCTGGGAGCGGCCCTTTCACCTGCTCCTGGCTACCCAGAAAGTTAGGGGAGGATATTCAGTGAACCATTTCCACCTGCTCCGAGGCCCCTTTACACTGTCAGGGCTGCACCTGAAGGCCTAACCAGGAACCAGGCCCTCCGAGCTGTGTCTTGATCTGAATTCTGCAGCTCTGAAAAGCCCCTGGCCTGACCGGTTCTCTAGTTGGTTTCTCTGTAAAACTAGCAGAAAAACCAACCTGGCTCAACGAAAACAGCCTGTCACCCCAGCTAAAGGACAGGTAAAACTACACCACCGAGGGGCCAGGCGGGCACGTTAACTTCTTAAGAAGTTGCTAGATTTTCTCACTGGCCTAGATAAGTTTGCTGCTATGTAAATAGTAGGAAGTCACACCCGTGTGTGACCATAAGATGCCTGCCCCCCCGAGATCCCTGACACTCAGCCCCTAGTGCCGACCCAGCTCCTTGCCTGAGCTGGGAAGAGGGAAAATGCAAACACCCGCTCCTTAGGAAAGTTTGACACAAGCATTTAAACTTTCTCCCAGAGCCCTCCTGCATTCAAGGCAAGCTGGCCGGACACCCATTGTCCAGGGATCCAGGAGTCGAGAGACGCAGGAGACGGCTTCTTCCCAGCCAGCTGGTCCCTAGCACACAGAATTCCCGCAGACATGCTGCTCGACCGCCTTGCTCCGTTTGCATAGAGCAGCCTGCTCCATGAATTCAAGGATCCCAAGCTCTGGCGCTCTCCCCTTCCTCCAAGCAAGGGGAGGAGATTCCGGAGGAGCTTTCCATCACCCGGCCAATACAGACCATCGCCAGTCAAAAACCAGCAAAGTCCTCAGCTCACAGTCTCTTCCCTCAGAACTCTCCGCTGCATTTTCCCATCCATCCAGCTCTCCGTCAGAGGTGACTTGGTACCCAAGACAGGTCTTTCTTGCACCCACGATCTCCCTTCAATCGGGGAGAGGGCGGGGAGAGGAGGGAGTCCTTTGCTTCTTAGGCTATGTCTACACTACAAAAATAAATTGGAAAAAGAAACTATCTGCAGTATGCAAATAGCATCTCTCTTCCTGATTTACTTCTGAAAGAGGCTTTTGCAAAATTTGGCCCATCTATACGGGGCCACGTTTCAGAAAAAACCCTTTTTCAGAACCTCCCTTCTTCCTTGTAAAACGAGGTTTACAGGGAAGCCGACAAAACGTGTCTGCTTTTCCAACAATTTTTTCGGAAAAGCAGACATGCTCCTTGGACGTGGCAGAGCGCTGCAGTCTAGACATAGCCTTAGGGCAGTCGGAGAAGCTGCTTCATGTGGTGGAACTACCCACTCCAGAGGAGGGGACGGACGCCCACTGATTTGAAGGGACAGAGCGGTTTGGATAAGAATGATTCTTATTTTTAAAGAAAGGGAATAAACAGAAACAAAGGGAGGAAATCCATTTGCCTGCCACTGGGTAGCATTTCAGTCCCACTTAGATGAGATCCTATGGGCCCTCTGCTGCTCCATACGTATCCGTGGACTCTATTTCACTCCTGCTTCTCAGGGCAAGAATTTAGCACCGGAGCGATGGGCCTTCCCTGAGCTGGGACCCTCACTTAAGGCGTCTCAGCACCCTCAGAAGGATGCTGCTCAGCCCAAACACGGCTGTAATGGCGCCCCCCATTACTCTCAGACGGGGCAGCAGGCAAGTTTGAAGGCAGTGTTTTCAGAGCATGGTCTTTAAGTCCAGGCCCAGCAGCAGAGACAGGACCCCTTGGTGTCCGCGCAGCTGCCAGGGTCAGCTGCCAGTTAGGAGCAGCATAGAGAGGGGCCCAAGGTGCGCAGGTCAAGGTAATGGGAGATGTGGGAACAGAGAGGCAGAGGTATGGAAGGGATGGCCTGGGAACCATGGTAGGTGGAAAATGCTGCATGCTACAGCAAGTCTCTTCTCCTGGGGAAGAGCAGCGGAGGGGGCCAGTAGGTAACGTGCAGAGGGGGGGGCCTAAGAAATGCTGCAGTTAAGAACAAGAGTACATCTCTCAAAGTCAAGAAGCTCAACGCGAAGATGAAACTTACACAAAATCCTACACGTGAAAGGTTCCTAAGAGCAGCCCCCATCCTGAGGGGCCTGACTCACAAGTGTGCACCTGACAACAGGGCTGCTAAGCAGCAGGAGGCCAGAGAGCTTCTGCTCAATTTCCTGGTTTCTGCCTGATTCTTCCCCAAGACCTACCACTTCTTTGTGGGGAGAGCAGCTGCAAACCCCACCACCACACAGACCATCAGAAAAGCAACTGCTGGGCTCAAGGGCCACTAGGCTCCTCCATGATTCAGCTCCGCCGGGAGCAGCCGTTTGAACATTCCATGGCCCGAAGTCTCCATTTCAGCATCTCTTCTGGCATCCCCTGCAGGAGACAAGCACAAGCCAGGCAGCCATCTCCACCCACCCCTACTGACCTCTGATTGCCTCAGCTCTTCAATTCCAGGGCGGGAATAGTTCTGGATTCCAATCTGATATTGCCAAGATCCTGCTGTACGCAGCACCATCTCGACCGGAGCACGTCTCCCATCAACACAGCTACACCTCTCACTAAGACGTCCTATATCTGTGGGGACAAGCCACGGTTTTGGCAGAGGAAAGGGACTTTAAAGTGATTATAAGTCGCAGCTGAACCCCTTGTAAAGCTCCTCGAGGATGCTGCTGGGTATGATGCAACAGGGCCTTCGTGTGCAGGAGTCAACTGTGGGGTGAGCGTGTTAACACTGGTAAGAACTAATCACTCCTGTGCCAATCCAGTTATTGAAAGTGACAAGAGTGTGTGAACAATCCCAACCCCTGGAGATACAGCCAGAGGGGTGGTTTGGTTCGTTTAAAAGTTTTATTCCTTTATCAAATCTTTTTTCAGAAGATTTCACTGTACAGATATGAATAAATTACTCAATAGTAACTTTATTCTGGTCGTTGGAACACTCAAAACGGGCTTTGCAAAGTACTAAAACATCCACGGAACTAGCCTATGAATCTGATTTTAAAATACCCAGTCAGACTTCATTGCCAGGTACCTTTTTTGGGGGGTTGGACAAGTTGATGGGAGCGAGTTGCCCTTTGGCATATTCCACAATGGAACTGCTGCAATTAACTGCTTCAGTTGCAGTTACAACAAAATAAAACCTTTGATGTCAGGAATGTAGCTTAAAGAACTGGACCAACTCACTCCTGGCTTCAGCATGACAAGAACTGGGCAGCAAACAATCAGCTAGGAAGTGAGGCCAGAGAGAATGGTGCACACACATTTGGAGAGCTGGCCTGGGTATTACTTGCAGGCAGGGCCCCATCTGCGCCTTTAGGAAGCTCACCAGCTTACGTGAAAAGGAAAAATTCATTTTTCAAATGTTCTGTGAAACCAAGTTTTTTAAGTCTAGATATTGCCTTCTATTTCCAGCCAGGTGGGTGGAGTTAACATTTAAACTAGAGCTGATG